CCCTCCCACCCCTAATAATTAAAAAAATTACATTTTTAACCTTTTAAAACCTATAAATAGCCCCCCTTCTTTATTTTTTCTCACAATTCACTCTCTTTCTAGTTACTACTCTAATTCTCTCTCAATTTCTCCCTTGATATTATTGTTGTTAAATTCTCAATTCAAGACTTCAAGTTAAATCATGCCCCGTAATTCTAGAGTGCGCTCATATGTTTGGGAACACTTTGATGTGGTAGAAGAAAATGAAGAAGCTCAAAAAGTAAAGTGCAAGAACTGTGTTCTAGTCTTAAATCTTCGTCCAAAGTGTGGCACAGGCTCTTTAAGGAGGCATATCAAGAGTTGTCTTGAGCGTTCTCCAGAAATTCGTATTTTAAGTTAATTTGAGACAATTTGTGTTATTTTAAAATTATTAGACGTATTTATGCTTAATGTTTTAGTTTGTTAGATTAATTTGAATTTTGAAGTATTATTAATTTATTATGCATGAAAATTTAGTTTCTCTTTTTTCGTTCAATTTTATAAATAATTTGCCTATTGGTCTTATTAAATAATTTGTTGTAGCCACTTACTTTCTAATTTCAATTTTATAATTTTAAAATACAAATTTCAAATATAAAACTTTAAACTTCAAAGTTTAATTTTACGTCTTAAAAGTTTGCAAATATTTAAGTATCAATAACATTGAATAAGAAAAATAAAATTTTATTTAAGAAAAAAAAGTAGCCAGGCCCGCCCGAACCCGAACGGGCCCTAAAAACCCGAAATTTCCCAACCCGCCCCCAGCCCGTTATCCCAGCCCGCTAAACAGCCCGCCCGCTAATCGAACAGGCTGGAGTTTTTCCCGTTCAGCCCGTCCCAGCCCGCCCGATAAACACCTATAATTTATACTAATGATCCAGGATTATATGACACCAATGAATGCGCTAGAGTAGAATACCTGGAATCTTAGTCACTGTAATTCTTGCTCGTTCTGCCCGCTTTAGATTTATGTGAGCACCTCTTCCACCACTGTAACGTGTATGATCCTGATAATCAAAAACTAATCAAACTTTTGCCGATGTAAATTTTTTGTCAACAATAAAAGTAAAAGGTACTAGAAGCATCGGTCAGTAGGGAATGGAGATTTTAGATCAGCTAATATCATTGGCTACATGAAATCAATTACTTAGATTTTACTTACCCGGTTATAATCTTCAAGCCAGTTTTCCTCATCACATGCTGAAAGCCACCGCTCTATCCTATCCATAATTTCTTTTCGGCTTAAAGCTTCGTCCTTCACATTGTTTATTTGTGCTTCAATATTTGCTAGGAGTTCACAAGGGTCCACAAGACCTTCAAATGGAGATTGGATTCATTTCTGTGCATTGAAAGTTCAGATGAACAGAGCATTTAATGAATCTAAGATCAGATGACTTACCAGAGTCAATCATTGCACTGGATTTATCAGCAGCAGTACTTTGATCAGGTTGAATATGGGTTTTGTAGCATAAGTCCTCCAATTCTGCCCTCCTTTTCATGACCAACTCCTTCATCCTGCTTGCTTTCAATTTGTTGAGCCTCTCAACTTCTGCTGATACCTATCAATGTCAAACCAATGTAATAGACAAATTCAAATTTCTAGTCAGCCTTTGAATTCATCAACCTCAAGTGATCACTACTTGAGCATATTCGCCATTTGAGTACATATGTATATATGCACATACTACTGGTTGCATTTCTGCAAAATCAGTCCAGCAAACTGGTATATGCACTCTCTTCTTCGATAATCGCTCACATTGGAATCATTCTTTGTGTCAAATCACTCGAGGAGAAAAGCAATGAGGGTGGAAATGAAACTTAACCAACAACAAAAAAAAGCAACAGAGCAAGAGATAGGGAAAAATTATAAGAGGTGGGAAGTGCTTGCAGACCTGTTGAATAACCTCTAATGAAAGTGCACCAGGCTCCACAACCTCTGATTCAGAAATATCAAGAACGGAAATGATCCTTGATAACTTACTCCTTTCTTCTCTCATTGTATCCATCAAGTTCCAAAGCTCAAACAGCGATCCCACCACATCCTTTAGCTGCATTATTGATGTGATTAGATAGGGAGTACATAAAAGACAGTACAATGCCGAGGAATATAATACCTTCTGATATCGAACTTTTCGTTCTGTTTTCAATCGAAGGATGGCCTGGTCTAGACCTTCCAATGTGCTGTCACTGATGTTTGTGTATTGTCCGGGGTTTGTCTCATGCAAGCTTGGATGCACAGTACTTACAGTATTGCTAAAATCCAGCCCAAGTACGCCGCAAAAAGTGTGAACCTCATTCACACTGTCCAGAACTCTTTGGATCCGCACAGACTGCATGCAGAAAAAATTATCTATTATTTAATTTGCTAAAAGAAAGACAACCGCAAAAATGCACCATTCATGATGGTTAACTCAGTGGCCTTTGACAGAAGAACATCCTCAGTTGAGGGTAACTCAGTCATTTAATATTGTAACTTTAAGAAACATGCCTGTCGCAATGTTTCTAAGATAAGCTTCAGCAGAAATGAAAATTGTAATCGGATTCTTTAAAAATATTAAAAAATAACACGAAACACAGTTTAGTCCATGCATACCTTCTCCTTTTGGAGAGCAAGTAGATGGGATTGGCACTCCGAGAGCTTTCTCATCGACAAGTCATGTTCTTCCAAGTTTAAGCTACTCAGAGAATTGACAATATTACAACACCCTGAAATCTCACCAGTTATTTTCTCAATTTGCGCCTTTATATCTCCGAACTGCTTAACTCTTTCATCTTTCTTAGCTCTTAAATCATCTACAAGAGGCATGATTAACCCAAGCTGCTCCTTCAGTGAAGCTGATTTTTTCTCTGACTGTATCTGTTTTAACCAGAAAAGCAGAATTAACAAGCAAAAAATAGGATCAGTTGTTCAAAAGGATTCCAGAAAGTTTTTCAAAAACCAAAACTGAAGTTGTTTGGTTCTAAAACAATATTTTCGTTTTGGAAAATAAGAAATCATGAGATGGATCATCCTATATATTTTCACACCAACAAAACTTGTGCAGTTTCGCCTTCCCATTTACGAGATCCACTTCTATTCAGAAGATTCTTGTTTGATAAGGTAATATCATCTCAATTTGAGATCTCTGTTATTGGGAAGATCTGCCCTTGATTTTGAAACCATAGGCTGTTCAATCACGCTAACTGCTTAAGAAAAGATACAACATAACAGTCCAGAAGAACTTCTGAGCCATACGGCAAAAGTAACAATAGCATCTACTATATCCATTTTGCACGAACTGGGGTATCACCAAAAATAAAGCTACAAGCAAGAAATCAGTTTATAGATATTTGGTGGATTTGATGAAAGTAAGTACCCTACCAAGAAGAAGAAGCAGTACTAGTACCATATGAAAGGAAATATATACACAAGGGGGAGAAGAGGGGTTTGGAAGATAAATCATTTATGATAAAAGCTTCCGCACTTAGAGAGAAGTGTTCAATACCGGTGAATTAATGTTGAGTTCGCCAAGAGCAGCCATTAAGNGAATTAATGTTGATTTCGCCAAGAGCAGCCATTAAGGTAGCAAGCTCAGCTTCTTTAGCTGCAACAGATTGATGAAGACGTGCTTTTGCATTGGCCGCTTCTTCAACTTTTCTTCGATAGACTTCCCTACACTCTCTTTCCAGCTCCAACAGCATACGGTCTTTATCAGATTCGCTCTCTCCAATGTCGGTCCATATTTGCTGGACATCACATCAATACCGAGTCAATACATATTACACAGTTCAAGCACCAATGTTATGCAATTTCTCACATACATGGGAAACAGGAAAAACCTACTTGCTTCTTTTCCCTCCCAGAAGCCAGAAATCCCTTTAAAGATTCCCAGGCAGGCTAAGTCCCCTACTTAAGATTGAATTCATAAGGCTAATTTTATGTTGTCCCGAGGATTTGGTTAGGCCGACTACTATAGGTTAGCTACTTCTAGCTTCTATTGGCCCTTCCACTTTGGTGTAGCTTTAGTTTGTGTTCCTACTGTATGAACATATCAATTAAAGAGTGAGCAGTGCAAGCCCTTCTCTGCATCTTATTCAACCAGAATCCTATGCAGGACCTACATGAATTCTTGGATACAAAATGTTATCTTTTCTGCTAAAGGGGCAGCACGGTGCACGAAGCATCATGCATTCACACAGAGTCCGTGGTAGGACCGCACCCCAAAGGAATGTGGTGTAGGAAGCCTACCCTAATTGAAGTATTAGTGGTTGATTTTACGACTCGAACCTGTAACTTATAGGTCAATAAGGAGACGACTTTACCGTTATCTTTTCTGCTATCGTAAAATTCCAGTTGAAAACACAAACATAAGCTGAGCATTTATGGACTACTGTGAGAAAGATAAAAACAAAGAAAATATCCAGAATAAGTCAACATAAGCAGACCTGGACTTCATCATTCATAAACCATCCTATCATAAAATCCATTAGACTTTAACTTAAAGTTCAAAAACTAAACTACTACAATGATTCTATCTACTTGACAAGCCATGATTACTACCAAATCATTAAACAAACACACAGTAAATAGTTTTCTTAAAGCATAGACTACTGGTTCCTAGACTACCCAATATAGAGTTAACTCCAGTTTATTCACCACTGAGCATAACCCCACCTCAAAATCAGGTAAAAGGTCCAATCTTTTTCCAAAGCAAAGAAAACTGAAGAGAAATAAACCAAGAAAAGTAAATTATTTTTCGACAAGTACCATGAAAAAACAAAATTCAAGAACTATAAACAAACTTCCCCTATACAGAACATTCAGTCACAAGGATTTTCAGGCTTCAGACCAAGATACAAGAAAGACAAAAAACAAAACTTGAACAGTAAATTAGTAAAGTGAAGAAAAAAAGAAAGTGAGAGAGAAAAGAGACCTGCAGTTCTCTAAGTAAAGAGTGGCAACTAGAGCTTGTAAAACCAATATTGCTACAAGTAGGACTTCCAAAAGCCAGCATTTTTACTTTTAACCAATGATTATATCAATACCCCTCTTATCTTTCTCTAGCAAAAGCCACACAACAGCCCAAAAAAAAGCTGTTTCTTGAAAAATTTGTCCCTCAAGAAAGCTTCTCAAAGCTCAAAAAATAGCTGACTAGTTCCTACTTTCAGTCCTTCAAGTCAACGACCAAAAAAGAAAGGACCAAGAAAGCAGCAGCAGCAACACTTGTTCTTGTCCATCTTCAGATCTGAAGCTTCCTTATACTCACAACCTCAAATTTTGCTAAAAGTTGTTGTTTCACCATGTTACAAACTACCAAAACTACAACTTTAGACTTGTTTTTTTTCTAAATGTTGTTGTTTCTTGGCTCCTTCATGCTTTTTACTTCATAAAAATATGGACTTTAAAAGAGGGTGTGAAGTGGGTACAAAGAAAGGTACTAAAAGGACAATAACAAAGAACAGCAACAACAAAGGACAGAAATGGATTTTACTTTTTATTAAGTAAAGAGAGAGGGGATAGAGAGAATAGTGAGGAAGAAAAGAGTGAATGAGATACTTTGGGGTTAGTGGGTGGGGCTAAAATGCGCCAATGCCGACGGATCTACGGGCATTAAGCTCGGACTTCAATGGTGGTTGGTTCAATGGTTCTCTCTTTCTCTTTCTCTCTCTGTGTGTGTGGAAGAAAAGGGAGGGAGTGAGCAGTGACGGAAAAACACAGCTTCTTATGTATTGTAGTTTTTATTTTTCAATTTTTTTGAAAATCTTTCAGGAATACTCGCATAGGCTATTCTTTGGATGCACACTCACACTGGACAATTTGTTCACTATGCAGTAGCTCCCAAATTTATATAAACCGCACTGCGAGGAGCTTTGATCGGGGAGATTGTTAGTGAGAAAAATTTTTCCTTTAGTGAGAAAAATTGTCCGATATTTTCATTGAGGTCTGACTATCCATTAATTCGGAATCTTATTACATAGTGTTCATTAAAAGAAAATTGTTTTTTACTAAACAAAAAATCTCATTTCTAAAATTTGAACATGCGGTCTTGATTAAGGGGTCGTTTGATATGAGGTATAAGAAGGTATAGGGTGGTATAAAAATTTAATACCACCTTAATATTTTGTTTGGTTAGCAAATCAGGTATAAGTTATTCCGGTGTTAATTTTAACACCAGGATAACTTATACCTTATAGAGGGTGGGATAATTAGCACCGGTATAACTTATACCTTCTTCTTAGAAATTATGCAATTGTCACTCTTAATATAACATACCAAACAGTGAATAAACAACAATCCCATCATAACTTATCCCAACATAACTTATACCAGCATAATTTATACCGGCATAAGGCGTATTCCAACCAAACGACCCCTAAGTGTTAAGGATCTTATACATCATATTATAATTTATAAGTGGTAATAACAATAATAATATACTCAGTATAATCTCATATAGTGAGATCTTGGGAAGGTAATGTGTAAGCAAAACCTTACGTCTACCTTAGGAGATAGAAACGATGTTTCCAATAGACCCTCGCCATATTATAAGTGGTAGTAATGGAGTACAGTCAGATCTCTCTATAGCAGCATTCCTATATAACAATCATTCACTATAAAAGCCAAGTTTTCCTTAGAAATCGAGTTTTTAAGTTATATTTTACCTCCCTATAACAACTGTTTACCTATAACATCAACAACCATATTTGTAGCAGAACGCTCTTTGTAAAATTATCCATCTATAACCTATATATAAAATCTTTAAGATTATTAATAATAATTCTAAAAAAATGCACACTCTTTTCCAAAGTTTCTATCTCGCATAAGACATAAAATTTGGAGATATGCACATGATATATTTTATATTTTTCATTAGATATCTTTTTGCTGAAAATTTGCACACGAATATTTGTCACTTCAAGCATTATATCGGTAGTAAGAGAATGAAATCTATAAAACATCTACAATTATAAAGTTCTTTCATCAATCTTGAAAGAATTTATATTCCTAATAGCTTTAAAATATGTCTTAGAGTTTAAATCTTTGTATGCTTAGTTACAAATTTTATTAATAATGTATTAACTTTATTCAATATATACCTAGTGAAATATGCATATCTTTTGAGATTTTAAATTTGAAGAATTTTCTTATCTTTTATATGTAACATTAAAATAAAATTAATTTTTGGATAAGTTTTATCTATAACAACCAAAAAATATTAAAACATCAAATGTCGTTATATGTGTATAATAACTATTCGCTATAAAAGTCAAAAAATATCGAAATAAATAAGGCTATTATAGAGAAGTTTGACTGTATATGTTATTACATGTGAAGTACTTTTTTCTTTTTTTTGGCTTGAATGTGAAGTACTTGCATTAACTATTCGTCTATTTTGTTTACTAGTAAAAGAATCAGTTTATCTTTTATGGTGTACATGCAGTAAGGATTAGATATTAGTACGATATTTTCTATTCTATATTTGTTAGCCGTTACGACTCCTTTTTATATATTTGAGGTATTTTTTCTCACAAGTCTCACCAAGTTTAGGAGTTACACAAAAAAAGAAGTGTGTAATAGCCTGTTTGGCCAAGCTGGAGAAATCAGCTTATTTTGAGAAGTGCTTTTGAAAAAAAATACTTTTGGAGAGAATCAGTTTGTGTTTGGCTAATCAGTCTGAAAAGCACTTTTGAGAAATAATTTATGTTTGGCCAAACTTTTTAGAAAGTACTTTTAAGTGTCAAATTACGAATAAGGACATGAATAGATTTACTTAATAATTAATATTATAAGTAAATAAATAATATCAAAATTTTGTTATTACATGCAATAATTAAAAAAATTCATTTTATTTAAGTAAAATATGAAAATAAAATTAAAAAGTACTTAATTCTTTTAATATAAGTTAAATATATTAAAATTCCTTCAACAAATATAAAAGCATTCACCCCTAAAGTCACTATATATTAGAAAGTTTCCTAAAAATAAGAAGAAATATTTATAAATTAATATCCTAAGTATTAGGTTTAAGGGTTATTTTGGTATATACTATATTTTGTTAAGGGTATTTTAGGTAAGAAGAAAAGTCAAAACTGCTTCTGTTTCTGCTTTTGGAAAGAAACTACTTTTTTCTGCTTCTCTGAAACTGCTTCTGCTTCTTCCCAAAAGCACTTTTTTCCCAAATAAGCTTGGTCAAACACCTCAAATTAGGAAAAGAAAAGTGTTTTTGGAAGGAAAAAAAAAGCATTTTTTTGTCTTGAGAAGCTTGGCCAAACAAGCTATAAGTAGCATACTAATAATAAAGAGTTTAAACTATACATATTAATATTCTAAAAAGTTATATATTATCATGTCATATTTACTTGTTAAATCACGGACATATTTTATTTTTAAAATTATAAATTTCATTTTTTGTGGAGTCACGTTGATATTTTTTACGTGACTCATATAAAATCTTTACTCTATCCATGCATATGAGCTAATCAATAGTAAATTAGATAACGTCGCCAAGATTTGAAAAGAAACATATTAAAAATTCAATTATGAAGATTTAACAAAAGTTAAGAGATGAAATTTTTTCAGATGAATTGTCCATCAAAATCACTTTTATCAAAATTGAGAATATGTGATATTAGTCACTTATTTTTATTTGCAACATTCTCAATTTCTAAGTTATAATCAATGAAGAGGTTTTGAAGAGTAATTCGAATTACGAAATGACTTTTGAGGATCTATAAGGCTAATTACATATGATTGCATGTGGGATGATCCTTGTATGTTGGATATTGGTCATATCTTAGCATATGTTCGGATGCTTAAGTCATAAGCCCATGAGACACGAGTCTGATATGTCTATCTTAGGGGATTTTACGAGTGCATCATCCAAGAAAAAGTCTTAATTTTGCCTTTTAAAACATTGATACTACATAAATTGTTATATAATGATAATCTAAGAATAAGAATTATTATGGGTGAATAACATTATATAAAGTGTTATATGTTGACTAATGATACACGGATTGTCATGTAAAGATTGTTTAATTTTCTACTAAAAAAAGATTGTTTACTTCTAGGCCTAGCACGTATTACTTCACATATTGATGATATATGTAGTTGTTCCACATTTTATATCACATAAAATAATGTATAGATTTCTGAATAAGTTATGATTTATGCTAATTATAGTAATATAAATTTTAGAAAAATATATAAGTTGCTCTTTAAACTTCCTCGAAAAAATTATTTATATATTGACGACCGTTTACGCTTATTCTTGTTTATTTAAAGAGAGTAAAAATAGTGTCTCTTTCAAATTTTAAATATTTTTCTTTTCAAGCCAATGATGTAAAGTTGTAAAACCATGTGATTCATAAATAGATGAAATCCAAATTCCAACCTGAAATTCAGAAAAGACACAATTTTTCAGTTTGCCCCTCCTCTTAAATTCGGGTGCTGTGCAAATTCCAATTTATAAATAAACTGTGAGCTTCACGTACCATTAAAGCGCGTGAGCAATAGAATCTATCTGATAGAAATCCAGTAGTGACCCAGCTGTTAAGAAGTACACTTCAAGGCCGAAACTTTCAATAAATTATACTGTAACCCCCAATTAATTTAATCTACATGGTCTCCATAGCTTGATGTTTTTCCTCACAAAAAAAAATTGAAAATCAGAAGACCTCGGGTTGAGATCTCAGCTAAGATAAAAATACTAAGTAATTTCTTCTTATTTATCCCGACCTTGATGGATAAAGCTAACGAACATCATAATTATAAGAAAATATTATGAGGCACTAAAATAAATATATGCCCTCAAGATTTTCTCGAATTGCTAAGAAAATTTACCTTTTGATCCCATCATTCAATATAGGGGTAACAAAGGAGAAGAAAAGCAGTTCCTTATTTATGGTAAATGCAATTATTTTCATACTTTCCAACCATAACCTTTTAGTATATGATTATTGCTAAAGTTATTCTTCTTTTTTAACAAATCACTTTTTGGTTGCCCACCTTTAGCTTTCTTTTAATTACTGTAGTTTCTAGTTTGCATAAAGTAAGTATTTGCTAGTGATTTTGGACTAATTGAGTAATATCTATTCTGCTTTCAAAGTTGCACCCAATATATGTTCGAAATGCCACTACTTTATAGACTATTTAAGTTACTGGGTTCGAAATTTATATTTGTACATATTTAATAAAAAATTTAAACACATATTAATTAGGGTCGAACCATAAGTTGATAAGTTTAGTCAAACTCATAGCTTATATGCTAACTCCGCGCTTGCTTTAGAATTTCTTCCAAGTGTATACTTTTTGAAAGTGTTTCAGTTAATTAATCATTACTTATAGCTCTAAAGTTAAAGTAGCATTTAAAAAATGACAAGCATATGATTCTCTACCAATCATGATCAACATGATATAATTTCAGGTGGTAAAGAATTTTCGAAAGTGAAGAGCATCCAAACTTAAGCAAAACTAAGAAGCCGACAATATTTTTAGAATTAAAAAAAGAAGTTAATATAAGTTTATAATTATAGCATTTAACTTCGATACAAATGGCAACATAATATTTTTTTTATACTATTAGATCACCCAAGTGTATAGGTCCAAATTTGGACGACCACGACTATTGACGAATACGACAAGAGACGAGATCTTCACGACACGATATCATGTGGTCGTTGAAGACGGTGACGATCGACAGCGGCTAAATGACGCTGACCTTTGCAGTAACATAAGCCCAACATGAGGCAGTAGAAATATACTTTCAAATATTCTCTATGATATGTCTTTTAGGGTTCAGGAGGGGATTGTCCCTTATATATATTGAGTAAAAACCCTTGTAAAGGAGAAGACTTTTGGCTAAGAACACCTATTGTAATATCTTCCTACGTTCAAGGTTGGCATATTTGACGCTTAATCACTCAGTTTCATGAGATCA